AAAGGTTTCGAGAGCCGAGAGGCAGAGACACAAGTGATATACCTCTAGTGACCCTAGAAAAAAAAAATATGGGCCCACCTTTTGGCCAGCCCCACAACAGTGCCATATGCTCGCTGCACTCTTATCCTCTTGTCACGTTGTAATGCATGCTAGATGGTTTCTTTTATTTGGCATCAAGGCTAAATGACTTGTTGTAATAAAGGTCATTTGTCACGTATCGAATCCGAATGAAAAAGTGATTGGGTATAAATGGGTGGGTATGCAGTATTGTTAATAACTTGAGCTTAATTTTGGGTAAATGGGCAAGCGCCCACCCATTACACTTATCCACTTGAACCAACCCTTTGAATTTCATTAATACCTATTACAAAATTTCCATCCACATTTTATAAGATAAACTTCTTTTTACTTGATAATCAAATGTATTATATAAATTGAAGTCCCCACCTTAAGTACATCAAATTTTTTTACTGTGCCATGTGTGTACCAGAGATTCATTCCAGCAGAGTTTGGTTGTGAAGAGGACAGAATAATTGCTTTGCCCCCATTTCAAGCTTGCCTTGACAAAAAGAAGAAGATTAGAAGGGCAACAGAAGAGGCTGGGATCCCTCATACATATGTTTCTTCAACCAGTTTTGCTGAATACTTTTTAAATCATCTGTTCCATCCACACGATCAACCAGAGGAACTTAAAATCTACGACACTGGTGAAGCCAAGGGTATTTCCTTTTTCAACTATACAATAAAGGACATTTTTATTTGTACAGTTTTGTAATAATAGCAGCTTTCAATTATCATAGATTCGAAAAGTAAAACTATTTTCAAAGAACCAAACTTTAGTAGCTTTATTTATGAGGGTGGGTCTTGCTACAACAGTAAGGTTGCTCTAATGTGACCTGGATCTAGGTCACGGGTTTCAAACAGGAACAACCTCTCCTGTTGCAGATGTAAGATCGCATACATTAAACCCTCTTCAGATCCCGCAGTGGCAATAACCTCATACGTTGGGCTACCCTTTTAGTAGCCTCATTAATATATATGCTCATTTCTTTTAATCTGTAATATTGTCATGTATAGTGTCGTTTACAATTGAAGAAGACATTGCCATTTATACAATTAAAGTGGCAAATGACCCAAGAACCTGCAACAAAACAGTCTTGTTCCGGTCTCCACACAATGTTATGTCTCAACTAGAATTGGTATCCTTTTGGGAGAAGAAAACAGGTCGAAATCATAAGAAGGCTCATGTTTCTATTGAGGAGATTGTGAAGCTTTCAGAGAGTAAGAATTTGTTTCTATACCATTAATTTTTCTAATAGAATTAGTCTAATGTTTTATATGCTACCCATTCATAGTGGGTACACTATGATCTGTGACTTGTGGCTTTATCTTGAGATTTTAAGATGGTTCAAATTTTAATTTTCTTGCAGCCGCAGAACATCCGCATAACATACGATCTTTGATCATTCATAGCATATTTGTGAAGGGAGACACAACAAACTTTGAGCTAGGGGAGGAAGACATTGACGTGTCAGAACTATATCCAGACTTTGAGTACAAAAAGATGGACCAAATCATTGATAGTTTTGTTGCTAATCCACCAGAGCTTGAGTTTACAGCATTTTGACCAAATCATTGATGATTTGTGGAACTAATAAGATTGACCTACAATCCAGTTGCTTGTTGCTGTGTATGATCTCCGGTTTGCTGCCGTTTGGTGGTTTGTTTTTGGCTTTCAATGGCGTGCCTCTCTATAGTTTTGTGGCTTATTCAGTTTATTTGTTTTCTTGTTGCAAGTGTTGTTCTTGGGGTGTGACCTTTTTGTTTCGAGTTTGTTGGTTTGCTTTAGGAAGGTTGCCTCCTTTCTTATAATATTTATTTAAAACCATTTATGAGAACTAAGCGGAGGAAGATGCCAATAGTATGTAAATGAACTCTCTAAAATGCCATAATGCAACCAATATTCAAGTACAATTTGGAGCTCAAACACCATTTTCACCTAGTAGCAATTTAACATTTCACCTATGCAATTAAGCTTTTTTCCTTTATTTTTCTTTGATCTTGGACAGGGCGGAGCCAGGATTTCAATTCAAGGGCGCACTGTGAATATATATATATATGAGTAATGACTCATGATAGATAGTCCGAGAGTCGGTCACATCTGATTAATTTTATGTGAGTAAGGGCTAATGTCATCATGACATCAGGGATATTAATGACATTACGATAATGTCAGCCCTACATTCGGACTCCAAATCATTATTGTGTGTTTGTTCTATGAAGAATCCACCAAAAAAAAAAAAAAAATGACTATTTATCTAAGTTGTAGTGCTTGTAATAATCATTCTCAGTACCTTATTCCTTCCTTTGAAAACCTCTTCAAACACTTGAGTCACTGCTGAATTAAACATCACGAAACCCTCCTTTAGAACCATAGACCTCTGCTATAGTAACTCCAAACTATTCACAAACTTGTCTCTGTCCACAATTATATGCTTCTTTGTAACTTGAGCCCGAATGTCCATTATTGCCACCACAATCATCCGGTTCTCAACTAAGGCCAGCAGCGAATCATCCCGCCCCCTTGGATATCTTTTTGCTTAAACTTTCAACAAGATTCTCTGTTGATTTCAAGAATGGCTTCAATTGATGAGAAAAACCGCGATAAACTTCCTTGTCCATCTTAATTGGAATTGGGTAGAGAATTGCAGAAAAAATGAGCATAGACACAATGTCTATGCCACTTTTTACCACAAAAATTGCATGAGTAGTACTATCCTTACAACTAGTTTTAGGCATGCCATCTTTAAATAATTCCAATTTTTTCCACTTCTCAGCTCCGTAGACCTTCTTACTCTTCTCTTTAATTTAGTATCTGAATTTCAGCATTAACCAACAGGCCAGTGACCTGTTTCTCAAAAAGAGATTAGGGGTTCAAACTTCAATGGAGGTATGTGTGTGAGTACCAATTAGGAAAAAAAAGAATTTTAGCATTACTTGTCAGTTGTCATGGCCATAGACTCGCAGTCATATAGATTTTTAACAGCAAAATCAACCATAAGTCTATACCTGCTGAATCCAGAAGTAGTTGATTTTAGCAGATTGCACAAGTCCAAGACATTCAAAGTCTCTTTCATGTACTCATCCAACAAACCATCAACACCATCCCATGAAATGGTGGGCACTTTTGAATTCCTCAAAAAATAGAAGCAACTTTGAGTGCGTCTTTTTCTTTGCACCATCAAAGCGACTTCTTGTGCAATGTCATTCAATGCTATAATCAACCACCTATCATCCACACTCCGACGTCCTTCAAACCTACTCCTCAATGTTCAAACACATTACCCCTCCGGACGCTTACACATTCCCTAATGTCCTAAAAGATTGTATTTTCCAAAACCTGCTCTCTCAAGGACTTTCGTCTTCATCAGCACATCATTGTCATGGGTACTTTTCAGATGCATACGTAGCTTCTTCTCTAATCAACTTCTATGCCAATTTTGGGCATTCCCATAGCGCTCGCAAGGTGTTTGGGATGATGTCTGAATGAAATATTGTTCTGTGGACTACTCATTGGCTGTTATTCACCGGTGCGTGACATCAATACAGTGATGTAGGGACTTATTTGAATTGACGGACATAAAAGACATTGTTTCATGGAATTCTTTGATTTCAGATTACGCACAGGTTGGGGATGTCGGACAAATATTGCATTATTGCAGCTTTTGTAGAGGAGGAGGGTTGAAAGGATGGAATAAGAAGCACGGATACTTTTAGGAAAACAACGTACTGGATACGTGTCGGATGTTGATATTCTACAGATACTCGCAAATACGTGTCTGATACATATTCATAATTGTTAAATACATTCTTTAATTTACAACACATATCTCATACTTCTTAGGTATTTCGTCTGCGTATCCGACACTTCTTGAATACTTTATAACACATTTTTAACAAATTTGAAAATTGAAATGCAACTTTTTTAGCAATAATAACATAGTAAAATTACTATTGTTAAAAATAAAAATAAAAAATTTATTTAGTGATAGCTCAAGATACTTGTTTTATGTGTTGTGAAAGGAATTTCTATATGAAGTTAATGATTGCATTTAGATTCATAATATTTTTAAAAATTAATTTATATATATAAACAAAATTTATTAATTTTTTATTACCGTATGATGCCATACTCGTATCTTATATTTTTTAAATATATCATATCACTATATTAATATTGTATTCGTATCGTATTCGTATCCTGTATCCATACTTGTTGAAGCTGATCATCAAAATTTGGGTTAATTGGTGTTTGCTAGTGGAGACTAATCTTGAAATGGGAAAGCTAAAAGGGCAAAAATATACCATTATAAACTAGGCAGGGGTATTTTCGAAAAGTTAAAAGGATGGAAAGGGTATAATACAATTTTCAACATTCGCATCTGTTTTTCAAAGAGGGGGTTAGGCGGCACATTCGCCAGGTGAGTAGTCAACACGTGTGGTCACAATTTTCGAGCAATGGACTTACGTTGTTACTGTATTTATTTGGTCTCTCATATATTCTTGATAATTACTAAATTGCGATTTTAATTCGCATTTCTTTGAAAATTGTTCACATAACATCTAAAGGTGGGCTCTCGTTTGAAAGGAAGGGCCTGAAGGCTGATTTATTTCATCAGTTGACCAATTAACCAAGTGCCCAAATATTATATTTAACCCTTTTTTTAATAATAAACCAAATGAGAAAAAAAACGACAAATGCACATTAATGAGATGACATTACATGAGAAATTAACAGTTTTATTTGTTCAATTGGATTAAAAATATTTTTGCTACCATCATTCCATTTGGTAGACTGCACACTTGATCCGTTAATTGTGTTAACTTCTTCATTAGTCTAAACAATTTGTCTTTTAGTAATTTTTCTTTCTATATCTTCCACACATATCTTCAAAGGTGACCACTTCCAAATCGCATGTCAATCAAAGTCGATTGGTAGATGAAACAAATTTTCAAAATGACTTTTATGTAAAATAAATACATGTGATTAAAAAAAAAACTGGGCAATATTATTTTATTACATTGAAACTCTACCAGAGCTCACGAACTCTAGTTAGATCAAGGAGGCTTGCATGGCATTGTTGTAAGCAAAGGCTGAAAAATACACCATATACACGAACTACTAGCAGATTTATTCTTCATGAAGCTGAAGGAGATTTATATTAATTTTCATGAGGATGGATGCGAACAGGGACACCGTTCATCGGAGTCAGGGATGAACGAAATATCATTTTCTCATTTGCAATTGCTTTCTCCAATTTGAATCTTGTCACAACATTATGCATGAAAACAAGTACTTCTAGTCGAGCGTATTCTTTTCCGGGGCACATTCGTGGTCCTCCTCCAAAGGGTACAAAAGTAAATGGTGCAGGTCCGCTTCCTTCAAATCTCGATGGATCAAATTTTTCTGGATTTGGAAAGTATTTTGGATTCTTGTGTGTTGAATTTACTGTCCAAAATGTCTGCAAAAATAATGGTTTTGTATGGTAACTCTTAGACACTAAAAAAGTTTATAATGACTGTTGTTTTGATGCAATATGAAAATAACATTAAATAAATAATATTTACATTCTTGATTAACTGACATACCTTCCATCCCTTTGGAATAGTGAAACCAGCGTAAGTGAAATCAGTTGTGGCCTCCCTAAAGGCTCCTAGAGCTGGTGGCATTAGCCTCAATGCTTCCCTTGCAACATTCCAAGAATACTTCATCTTCTCTATGTCTTCCCAGTTTAGTAACTCTCCTGGACCTTTGGACTTTGCAATCTCCATTTGTTCTGTCCACAACACAAATCAATTGAGTTAGATTTGGATGTTTTATGAGCCATGTATTGTTTGGGGCATTGCTAAAAATAGAACATCCAAGGAAATTAATTAATAATCTTAGAATTGGACATGCAACCAGTTTATGAGAATGACAGAAAATCGGTTAAGATAGTTTGCACATGTGAAAGGAAGATCTTTAAATGTTGCAGTTAGGAAGAGTGACATAGTCCAAATTGAGGATAATATTAGGAGAAGATGAAGATCGAAGTTAATGTGGAGGAGAACGTAAAAAAGGATATACATGATAGCGTCGAGTCTGACTAAGGTTATGGCCTTAAACATGTATAGCGGATTCATGTGCATGACTGATTCTAAGTAATTGAAATAAAAAATAAGAAGGCTTATTGTTGTAGGACCGGACAATAAGTTTTTGAAACGATTCGTGTTAGAATTGGAGATGGTGTTACCTTTGAAAACCCCATCGTAAATGTGGGGAAGTTCTGCAAGATAGTTCATGACAAAGGTGACAGCAGCACTAGTTGTCTCATAGCTTGCAACTAGCAAACCCATAATGTTGTGATAAATCTCCATTTCATTCATGAACTCCCCATTTTCATGTGTCACGAGTAGCATACGTGACAACATATCATGGTATGTTGTTTCCTTATTCTCTAATAGCTCCTTTCTGCGCTCCCTGATGATCATTAGAATCTCATTACGAACCATTTTTCCCCCTTTGATGGCGCGATTGTAAGCTGTCCCAGGCAAATCTATTGGCACCGAGAAAATCCCTGATGTAATAAGAGTGAAAGGATTGGCTAGCCTTGCAATGTGGTCAGGATTATTGATGCTCATGAACAATTCACATGCCAATCCAAAAGTATACTTCTTTGACACTAGAAAAACCTTCACCTCCCCATGAGGCGTCCATTCCTCGTCCAAGTGTTGGCGCGCCATTGAATCCATAACTGGTATGTAATGTTTTAGAGCTTCGGGCTTTAGAATATCATGGAGAAATCCACGTGACAATTCTCCTACTTCTTTTATTGGATCGTCGACAAAGGAGGGGAAGAGCAAAACTTTTTTCAGCGAGAGTGGCCACCATGAGGTGAGAAGGGTGTTCTCATTGGAGAACAAGAACTTGTTACCCTTGGCACCACAAAACACTGCCATTTTCTCTCCCAACAAGGAAGTTTGGAACACTTCTGGGGAGTACTTTCTCATTCTATCTTTTATGAATTTTTCGGGGCCTGCCATGGTCAACACTATACTTTCTCCAACCAAAGGCCATCCAGTTTTGCCTGGTGGGAGTTTTGGGCTACCCAAATTGCGTTTGTTAACGCGGAAAATGAGAGAAAGAGAAAGAAAGAGGGTTGCAAGGAGCAATAGACATGAGAAGATGGCATCCATTATTATTGCTACTTTCTTTCTTTCTAGTGTATATGTATATATAAGGAAATAAGTGCAATATATATATATATATATACACACACACACACTGTGTATTGTTAGTCGTCTATCCCTCCCATATGGATACTTTGTGGTAATTGCTTCAAAAAAACAAAAAAAATTCCACAAACCTTGTTTTTTATTTTTATTTTTATTTTTTTTGTAACCACGTGTTGAGACGTGTAACTCAATCCATATAAAAGTTGAATTATTTATAGTCAATTCTATTCATTTTTCTTCTAGAAATATTTAATTTCATAAATTGATTAGCTTAAGTCAACACAACACTTTAAACCTGACACATAACTTCCGTCATAAAATAAAACAAAGTCATAGCCCATGTGAAATGACGTCCCACGAAAAAATCTTTACATAGAGATCCGAGAGGTGACTTAACGAAACAAAACGTGTGGCAAGTGGAGCTTAAATTTGTAATATACAATACATATTAGCGGAGTGATAGGGACTGACAGCGCGAAAGTCGATCAAAAAAGTGAATTCTACGCATGATCATAACACCAAAGGTTAAAAATGATATAATAATTCCATGACTTTTGATACGAAATGTGTGTTACAAATATATATATATATATATATATGAACGTGTCATGGATCCAAATTCGTATATTGACAAAGGAGGATTTTTTTTTTGAATTTTGATTCTTAAAAACTTTGTCATACTTGCTAGAAGAGAATCAACATCGGTATTTTTATTAAAAAAAATAATAATTTTTTTTTTTGTCAAACCAGTTAGACAATTAGAGGCCTTTTTGAATTTTAGAAGTTTAATCTGCAATGTCATATATAGTGGTGTTTACTTCTGAAAAAGAAAACAGTCGAAATCATAAGAAGGCTCATACTTCAGAGGAGGACGTTGTGAAGTTTTCAGAGCAAGAAGGATACGTTTTCAATACCATTTCTCAAATTAGTATTATATTATGTTTGACAGATTTTACATTTTGAAATTGAAGAAAAGTTAGTACCATTATTCTACGGACCTCCATTTATTTGTCATTGAATAGACTGCACCCTTGACTTCTTGATTAATCTAAACAATTTATCTTACATGTTATTTATTTTGTTTAGTAATTTTTCTTTCAATATCTTCAAAGGTGACCACTTCCAATTCGCATGTCAAGCAATATCGATTGGCAGATGAAACAAACTATTTAATACTTTCTACCAGATATTTTGTTTATTTTCCAGGGCAACAATGTTAGGTCCTGTTTGGAATGGTTTTTGAAATGCAGTTTTTGACTTTTTGGATTTGAAAGTTGTTTTGAGTAGTATTTGATTATTTTTTTAAAGAAAAAAAAAAAAAAAAAAAAAAAAAAAAAAACTTCTAATCTTTTGAAAAAGTGTTTTGAAGAAGCTAGTACTCCTCATCTTTTTTAAAACGTCCTCATTTTTGTTAAAATGCTCTTCTAAAAAGACAAAGGATTGTTGTTTAAGTGAAACTTTATAAATTTCAAAGGTACAATTTTTATTATTCAGTAAAACATAGAATTCAATCACAAAAGATTGTAATGACGTGTTGAGACATGCAATTCAATCGATATAAAAGTTGAATATGTTGAATTATTCATGATCTATTCTATCACTTTCCTTCTAGAAATATTTAATTTCATGAATGATTTAGCTTAAGTCAAATATAAAAGTTGAATTATTCATGATCTATTCTATTACTTTCCTTAATTTCATGAATTATTTAGCTTAAGTCAAAACAAATGTTTGACTTTAATAACCCAAACATTTTGAATTTTATTATTCATTACTTCATTTTTACTGGGCCAGCTGTGCCATATGTACTATTTAATCAGGGAAAGTATGGTGAAGTTTTTGGAGTTGTGATAATATAAGAAATGATGTTTTTAATGACTTTAATATTTCGATTTAAAATTAATATAGGTAAAAATATAATGTGTTATTATAAAATTTTAACTTAAATAATCATCGTTACTATTCCTGTTTGTTTCCATAAAATACGTTAATTTTGCTTTCACAACTCATTTCCTTATCTTTTTAGTTTTCTATAACCGTATCATCTTTTTTTTTCATTTTTACAGTATCATTCATAATACTCAAATAGAATAATTTAATTGATACAAAATCTAGAATAAAAACTGCAATATTTTTCAAATTTTCAATACTCTTTGTTTTTGTTTCTAGAGTCACATATATTATTAATTTTGATCATTATATCAATGAACAAATGCCTATCTAATTACATATAGGAGATACAATCTTAAGTATATATGGGTTAGAGATCGAGATGCAATGTGATATATATATATATATATATATATATATATATATATACAATTTGATATACATAGTGGTTGAAACTTTAATAGCTAACAAAGATATTATATAAGAAATAGTCTACAATAATTTTTCAAAATATTTAATTACCTTATATTTTAAAATGGGTCCCATTATATTTGACGCAGGGATAGCCATATAGACTCAGGTGAAATAGTAAGTGTTTTTTCTATCAGGCTAAATAGCATTACTCTTTTAATATTTATTACTTCATTTTGAATTTTAATATTCATTACTTCATTTTTACTGGGCCAGCGGTGCCATATATACTATTTAATCAGGGAAAGCATGGTGAAGTTTTTGGAAACCCTAGATTCTTCAAATGGATACTATGTGATAATTCATAAAATAAAAACTTACTCTTTAAGTAGTTTATTTAGCTGCTTAAGTATCAAATATAATGGACCTAAATAAGAAACAAACATCTTCTTCCCCAACTCAAATAGCATGTTTGTGTAAATTTTTTCCAACGAAACCCTAGTCTCTTCCATCATCAAATTAACCTACTAATCAACGTTTAAACTAACTAAATTTATAAAGCTGTAATTATGATCATCAAAACGATCTACATATAAAAATTGAAATTACATTTACCAAAAAAATCCGGTTCAAGAAAGTTTTCTTAATTCTTCGGTGGCCTTTGGATTCTTATTCTTCACCAATGTTTAATTTCATTAGTTCGTGTATGTATGTACAGATATTTCCTAACACAAAACCTAAAAAATCCCTCTATTAATTCATTTGTTTCTGAAACCCTATATTCAAATCACCGATCTTGTCTTCTCCTCCATTGCCTCTTCTCCTTCTCACTCCATTCCAATTTACACCTTTCAAGATGCTAAAATAATCTCATTTAGGTCAGTCTACGCTGTCTTCGGTTTTTCATTTTTTTTGGCCTTTTCTTGTAATGACGTGTTTAGACACGTAAGTCAATAAAAGTTGAATTATTTATGATCAATTATATCACTTTCCATCTAGAAATATTTAATTTTATAAACTAATTACCTAAGTCAACACAATATTTTAAAGAGCAGTAATATTCACAAAAAAACACTTATACTGAATTGTCTGAATAATTTTTAATTGACTATTTATACCAAATATAACTAAGTTGAGGATTTTACTTTCTTATTTGGGGCATAATTGACCAATTAAAAAAATAGATCTAGCAATACACTTCAATTATTTGGTGCAAGAATCATTTTCCTATTTTAAAATGACACATAAATTAGCTTAAGTCATTTCATTGCTGTTATAATTGGTTAATTTTAAATGCATTAATTATTGAAAAAAGCTTGTGTTAGGCCTAAGAGCATCTCTAGCGGTCTGTTAAAATACCCTTTTGTGTAAAATATAAACTGCCACCTATAATGTGTAAAAAGCAGTCTTTTAAGATACACTCCCAAATCAACATATTTTCTTTCTCATCCCTCTTTCTCATTCCATTAAAGAATCAACCATATATTAAATAAGTTTATAAAAGTTATGTGGGGTCCTGGCATGACACATGGCTAGTTATTATTGGGAGTTATATTTTTACACAAAAGGTATAAAACAACCATTGGAACTCAAATTAAATAATTCAAATTTTTTTTGTGTAAATCTATTATGACACATCAAATTTACACAAAAAAATATATACAACGATTGGAGATGCTCTAAGCATGTTCTTCTTCTGATGTTGATATGGACCAGTAACAACATGACATGTGTCAAAAAAAAAAAAATTAAACCTGAATTATTCGGATCTTTTGCAAACTTGGTGGCGGGCTCTCCCTCTCTTTAACTCACAATTCTTTCTCTCTTCCCACCAAATCCCCATTGATGCCCACCATCTCCCCAATTCTAAAACCTTAATATTAATCCTCTCTTCCGCCAACCGACCTCCACCACCTCCATTGTTTGCTGGTCTCCACTACTTGCCACATCCTCTATTCCCAAGCCCTAATCTTTTACATCCAATCTTTAGATATTATTCAAGCCGCCACATTCGTTGTCTATCATCTCTGCTACAACCCCATCTCCAGAATGACTCAAGAGGCCAACCAATTAACAAATATGCACAACTCCAGTGGCATCCAAAATTTTGAGATTTATCACCTACAATCTGAAGTCAAATTGATTTCCTTAAAACTCGATTGATAATTAGTCTTACAATTGTGGTTAATTTACCATATTTGGGCTAATTGTTTAGCTTCTTCTGTAATGGATTATAATACGAAATGTTTGCAATAGAAAATCTCAAACATATGAGAGGAAAAAAATATATTTCTTTTTTTATGATCTATACGAAGGGTTAACATGTTTGGACTATTTAATGTTGCATAGTAAAGAAATTCCAAAAACATCAAAAAGGGCATTGGATAGTGTCAGAGTAAATTAAACATAATTAACTTTCTTAAAAGAAAATTTCGTGTAGAACCATTATTTATACTTTTTCCGTTTTGAATGTTGCAACTATACCACTGCTTTCTTCTATTAATTTTAATATAAAAAAATTCTCTTAACTTCTATTATTATTAATTTTTTCTTAGTCTATTTGTTAGATGCTAAGTACTTCTCATCAAATATGTTAATACATTTTTAAATGTTTAAGTTGGAAATTGAATAGTTAAAGGTTACAACTCGTGGAATTTCCT